GATTTTTTTTTAAACGGACAAATTTTTCTTGGTTTTTTTGTTGCATTGTTTCACAGGTTTTTTAATTGTTTTTGGCTATGTTCAATCCAATTTTGATTTTTTAAAAGCCAATCGAGAAATCTCACTTCAAGACATCTCAGAAAGGACAGTTTTTTCTTAAGAGCTTTAAGTGCAAAAAAAAAACAATAAATTGATGGGTTCAAAAAATTAAATGATAGAAATTAAGTATTTTGGTGGTTCGGTCCTCTTACTATTCTGTTTTTAGGTAAATTGCAATCTTTGTTTCTCTTACTCAGCCCAGTGTACCCTGCATAGATTTTGAGCTCTTACTTTTATAAATGATCAGCAAAATGCTAACAATAAATTCTTGTAGAAGAAAATGAATAATGCAAAAACCACAAATTCGAAAATTAGCAGATAGTTAGAAGCATTACAATACAATTTAATGAAAATCAATTCGATAGATCCTTTTACCGCAACAAAAAAACTATTGCAGCTTATATTTAAGTCTTGCAAAAAAACTGGAATTAATCATTTGGAAACCAACCATCTCTTTTTAAAATTTGTATGGAATATTTAGATTGATTTCTCAGTCGTTGAGTGAAAATATCATTTTAAGACTTAATACATAAATCATAATGCGGAATTAATTTTTTTCAATGTGTGAATTATTATCAAAAAAAATCACAGATTGTTCCGACCACTTGAGATCTATTATAAACTATCAAAAAAAATTGAACATTCTTTTGTTTTTTTTTGTATATTTTTTTAAATTTCTGTTGTGGTTCAATTGTCGTTTTATTTTTAGTTAGTAAGAGGAGACTGAAATGGTTTTAAAAAATAAGAGCCAGGAAATATAAGAAAAATTTAAAAAAAATCCAGAATAATAAATTGGAATTTCAGTCTGAAAATTTTAGCTTGAAAATTCGTTTCATATGAAAAAGTTCAGATTCAATTTCGTCAAAACTTTCAATAGTTTTTGAGTTTTTTCGAAGTTCAAATGAAAACCATTAGCGTTCAATTAAAACACTACTTCAAGTTTTGAAATACTACGCTCGATTAAAATACTACTTGCCATTCTTCGAGTTTTTAGGGTATTCAAAAATGAGATATAACGAAATGACAGTTCATTCTCACTTCCAAAAGTAGATAAAAACAATGATAGGGGAAACAACTTGGGGGATTTATAGCTGAAATCGTGACTAAAAACTAACAAGTTTGCATTTCGAAATTTTTTTACCGTTGTGATTTTTTTTGTATTTTTTTTATTGCTTCATCGAGCAGCTTAATTAAACAATGCAGCCTAATAGAATTATTTTTTAGTTTACAAATCCAATGCGCAGAAAAATGAGCCGAGTTATCTGGACCATTTTTGAGCGGATTGAGTTGAAAATAAATTTTTAAAGTAAATTTATAAGTGTCGGGTTATCCAGAATACGTTTTTTTCTAGCCTTTCAACAGTTTATAAGCATGGCACAATAGTTTCATCGGTTTTTCAATTTCAAAATTGATACAATTGGAGACAATTTTCCAGATGAAAACGATGTCTTCAAGTCCCGGTAGACGTTTCAACCCTTATTTGCTGGTTTTTATTTGCGGGGTAAATCATTTTCTTCGATGTTTTTGATCGAAGGCATCGAAATTTAGTTGCTGAGGCATAAGTGGAAAAAACAAAGTAAAAAAAAAAGGTTCGTCCATTTTAGTTTCAGTTTAATTATTTCAATACTATGAGGCCAAAAAGTTGAATCTTTATAATTTCTATTAACCATTGCAATTATTTTTGGTAGATTAAAATCTGTTTTTGAATCTTTTTAACTATTTCCCCTTTTTTGTACCTAGTATCGAATTGCCACCCCTATAATGAACTAACTCAACAGTTAAAGTTAAACTTACTTGAACCTTGTACCTAGTAACGAATCACTCCCGCTTTGCAAAAGGGGGAAATAGTTAAAGAGACCCTCTGTTTTTCAATTCAGTAGTGTTGAAAGCTGATAAAAATGAAACCTACCAAACTTAACTTCTTTTGAGACTTCTGCTAAATGAGACTTCGTTCGAGATACTTTATTAATGTTTTGAACTGTTTATTTGAAATCAGCCAATTAAATTTTCTAACTGGCCATCATTTCGACCTATTTCGACACGAAAAATGAAGACACTTCAGCATAGGTTGTGTTTTTAAGCAGGTTTTGACAAACTGATAGAAAGCTTGTAGGGGGTGGTATACAATCAAGCCTAGAAGTCATGATTCGAAACCCAAAACAAAAAATAAAAGTTTGTTTGAAAAATTTAGTCAGTTTTCAGAAAAGTCAGTTTTCAAACAGTAAGTTTTCAGAAGTTTAAATAACTAAACACAAAATCAACTATTTAGTCTCAAATGTTAAGAGAAACGATTCACTCCTCAATAAATTTATTATTTTTGAAATACCAAAAGAATTTTTTCAAATTTTTTTAAAATGTGGTCCGAACTTAATGCGTTCTACTTTCACAGCAACCGGCTATCCTCATTACCTACAAAATTTTTTGACTCAAATTGAAGAATGAATTTTTGTTAACTTTATTGTAAGCTTTATGATTATGATTCACAGAAAAACAAAATTGCAGGCAATTATATTTTACATCGAGAACCTCTGATGGCCCCTGAGTTAAAATATTTTGCTAACGAGGATAACCAGTTGCTGTGCAAGAAGCACAAAATAATCCTATCACCCGGATTTGACTAAAGAATATCAAACACACATTCTCAATTGAACCAAAAAAATTAAAATAAGGTTTTTGTTTATTTCTTAGCTTATAAAGGAAGTTTGTTTTTTCAAGCACCCAGTAAGGATTATAATTTTTCTCCATCATCATTGATTCTCTTAATTCTCCAATTGCTTCCTTTTTGTTGGTAATTGTTTCGTTAAAAACCAAAACTAGGCCTATATAAAGATAGAAAGTGTTATCATTTGATGATTAAGACTTTAAGTGGTCTTATTGAAATCAGTTTTGTTTATAAAAAACAGTTTCTAGTGTATTAAAAACGCTAATATGTGCAAATTTCAGAGGAAACAGATTACGGTAAGTTTGGAAAACGCAGCTCCGCTTCTGTGAATAATGTCGTAATGAATATTCTTGAAGTAACTTTCTTTTTCTGCTGATACACTAACCTTTTTTCAATATAATCTTCTCTAACATGCGACGCTGGTGATCGTTAAGCGGGTCATACCCAAAATCTCAAAAAAACTAGTATTCAAACGTGGTTATCGAAAAAAAACATCAAAACAGACAGTATTTTAAAAGCAAATCAAAACGCCAATTTTGATTTTGGAGACGCTCATCTTAATGATCGCCTAAATGCTTTCCAAACCGTTATGATTGGCATTGGTTATCTTCTTAAATTATACGAAAATTAAAATTTACGGGTGAAAAAGTTTTCTGCCATATTTACCATTTGAAATCAATTTTATTGTTTTTTTTCTGCACTAATTTTTTTATTGTCTTCCTTCACAACTGCATAAATTCATAGACCAAGTGAGAAAGCTAACCATAAAGCAATCTTAGGCACAAGAACGTTCACTTTGTTGAAAGTATTATTTTTCAGCCAAACAGAATTCAACATTTTCCTTGTCGGCTTTACTGCTTTAATTCGCCATTTGATTTAACGGAACTGATCTCAGTGTTTTTTTTAGTTAATTCAGGAAAAATATGTTCATATGGGCATTCATAACGGTTTCTTAAGCAATAGTTTTCATTAATTGCAGTTTTATCAAAACTGCAATTTGCAGTTATCAAATCAAAACGCCAATTTTGATTTTGGAGACGCTCATCTTAATGATCGCCTAAATGCTTTCCAAACCGTTATGATTGGCATTGGTTATCTTCTTAAATTATACGAAAATTAAAATTTACGGGTGAAAAAGTTTTCTGCCATATTTACCATTTGAAATCAATTTTATTGTTTTTTTTCTGCACTAATTTTTTTATTGTCTTCCTTCACAACTGCATAAATTCATAGACCAAGTGAGAAAGCTAACCATAAAGCAATCTTAGGCACAAGAACGTTCACTTTGTTGAAAGTATTATTTTTCAGCCAAACAGAATTCAACATTTTCCTTGTCGGCTTTACTGCTTTAATTCGCCATTTGATTTAACGGAACTGATCTCAGTGTTTTTTTTAGTTAATTCAGGAAAAATATGTTCATATGGGCATTCATAACGGTTTCTTAAGCAATAGTTTTCATTAATTGCAGTTTTATGTGCGGTTAGGGCGGGTGGTTTATTGTTAGTTATTTATTGATGTTTATAGAAAAAATATTATTATAGATAGAATATACAATTTTTCCAAACATAGCGGCTTATTCGTTCATGTACTGACAGGCTTATTAACATTTTTAACTTTGCGCTTGACTGAAAATTTACATATATTTTTATAAAAAAACTAAGCTCCAAATGTCATCAAAATGGATTACTTTCGACAAGCAAGATTCGATCTTAATATTTTTGCGAGGGTCGGGCCACTTATTACTTGTGAAAATAAAATGACAAAATTATGCTCTGCATTTTTACGGGGTGTTTGAAATATTATTGTGTTGAAATAAAAATTGCACACCCTTCAAAATTAGCTTAATTGGCGCGGAGGCGTCTTTTAAAAATATTTTAGGCTTGGTCCGGTAGGGTTTTTTGGTTGCTAAGGGGTTCGAATCCCCGCGGAGGAGGCTTCAGTCCGCTTTCCCCGTAAACTGGCTCCTGTATCATAAAAAAACGTGTTAGAATTCTCCTCGTTCGTGAATGGACCAGATTCCTGAATGTTATGGCGGTTGAAATATCAGCTTGAACGTAATGTATCAGCGTAAAGAATCAGGTATTTTAAGCACCAATAGTGCTGGTATATTTGTAGTTTTTGACCTTGAAAAAATTTTGTCGCATATTTTTCGTCATACGGAGAATTAACAAACTAACAACCTGTATTAATGAAGTAAGAAGAGTTTACAAAAATACTAATCTTTTTTTATATTTTGCAGTCAATCCCTACAATGGTGAGTAGTTTTGATATTCCATATATGGTAAACTGAGCAAACGCTTTTGATTGGAGACTGCGCGGAATCGAAACTAACGGACGTACCATGAAAACTCACAAAATGAAAAGACCCAAAAATTTAAAATTTAACTAAAAGAAAAAGAAAAACAAGGAAAAAATAATCATATTCTTGCAAATTGAAAATACAAAATAAAAATATGGTTAGACATAGTTATAGTCTGGCTGTATTTTCAATTTTTACTGTACCAGGTTTCTAATAACCTTAGAATTTTTTAGAAGCATTAACTTTCCTGATTCATAACTATCTAGAAATTTAATCAGAAACTTTTTTTTGTACTTTTGATACATAGTAAATATCAATGGCTAAACAAATACAAAACATTGGAAAATGAATTAGAAAAAGGTCGATTTTCTTACAATAAAAATTTTTACATTTTTTAACTTATTGCTAATTTATTCCTAATAAGTGCGAAGGTTCATGGTACTTCCAAAATAGTTTTGATGTTGTTGGGTGTCGCTACTAATTCGATGTCGTCTTAAATGTCTGCTGTTTCTAAAAATCCTTAACAGTCATATTTTCTATCCCAACGTTCGTTTCATCAAACCTATAACTCCATTATCAGAGTAAGTGTTCTATCAGATTTTGTTCAACTTGCTTGTTTTAATGACTGTTTTAAGCTTATCACGCGTCCATAATGGGTAGATTTATCAACTGGCATCACGTTACATAACTATATGTAAGTAAAATCAGTTATAAAATAATACAAGACCAGGGGCGGGTTTAGGGTGCAGGGGGGGGGGCAATTTGGTATTTGTATGTCCTCCACTTCCAGTCGATCAACCCTAAAAATTTACTACAAGCTCCTTCGGTGGCCATTATATGCAAGCTTTAATGTATAAAAATATGCAAGAGCCAAGCGCGCGCGCCTAAAAAACGCAAATTTTGGGTCAAAGTTTTATGCCTATTTTTTCTGTAAAAATTTTGACATAAAAAATTAATTTGGTCGGTCTAAAAAAATGGCGATAAAATATTTGAATTTTTTTAAAATCTGCCCCCTTGAGAAAATCTTTGGTCCGCTCAAAAAGACAGGGCAAAGTCTTGATTAGTTTGACTGCCCATTGAATTGTTTCCACAAAACTCTGATCGAAACTTTGACAAAACTTAAATTTTGGACAGCCAATATCAAATAGTAATTGTTGTTCCGACTTTCGAAGAAGACAGAATATTTATGCTTGGTGTGGTTTTTTTTTTCAGTCAATTTTTGGCGATGGAACTAATAGTTTTTTACAGAAGAAAAGTTATACCCTATTGAAGATATCCCTGAACCAAAATGTACAAAGAGCTTCTACTTCCTATCGTTTAATGCAAAATTTTGGTAGTTTGAAAATAGCCAATTTGGTCATGCTCGGGATTAATTTATGTGCGCTTTGGAGATTCTATTTATAATGCTGAAAACGTAACGCGATCGTGGCTAATTAATTTGCACAACAAAATGGTTCAAAATTGAATTTAGGCTAGCTAATTGGTCGTATTAGTATTATCACATTTGATTCTCGACATTGTCCAAATTTTATGGTTTTCCATTGTATTTTTTTCACCAATTTTTTTTTGAGATCAATTAAAGGGCAGTCGAAACATTCAGTCTTTTGCCCTGATATACGAGCAGTCTTGTTTTGCTTTATATATATTTTTCAGCAATTAGGAGTATGAATTGCTGTGTGCTGGCCTATTCATTCTGTTATTCATACGTCAATTCAATCGAATTTGAACTGCATTAATGTTCTGATTTTGCAAACCGTACCCATTTGTGAAACTGATAAGTTCAGGATCGATGATTGTCATTCCCTATTTTCTTTGACAAACTGGGCTGAAAAAAATCTCTACAGCATATACATTCCTCACGTTTTCAAAAACTGTAACTTTAAAAAAATGTTTCCAGCGTAAGACCGAGTTAGGGAAACTTATTTTAAAATGTAATGCTTTTTATTAAAAAGCCAGTCTGGGACATTGCAATTGGCCACACTATGTCAGTTTTCAGACGTCTTTGAGCGCAAAAAATAAGACTGCTCGAATATCAGGGCAAAACCCTGAATGTTACGCTTGCCTTTAATTGGTTTCGAAAAGTTTTTGGCAAAGAAAATATTAGAAAACTGTTATTTTTGAAAAAAAAATCGAAGATAAAGTGTGAAAACATTAGTCATACGAACTTAATACGACCAATTAGCTGGCTTCAATTAAATTTGGAAAAAATTTATTGTGCAGGATAATTCACCACAATCGCGTTACGCTTTCAGCATAATGAATAGAACTTCAAAGCGCGCATAAATTAATACAGAGCATGGCCCAATTGACTATTTTCAAACTCCCAGAACTTTGCATTAAGCAATGGGAGGTAAATTAACTTTTTCCGTTTTGATTCAGGGAGTCGATATCTTCAATAAGGTACAGTTTTTTTAAAAAAACTATCGTTGCAATTGCCAACAATTGACTGAATAAGAAAAACCACGCCAAGCATGATTTTTCCGTTTTCTTCGATGTTCAACAGAGACAACAAGATTTTAAAAAAGAAGATAGTGTATTACCACCGGTTACAATGTTGACGATTTTGATTTGTCAAAACTATCGAATTTAACTAGTTACTTTTAGCCGAGTTTTAAGAAAGTGCAATGAGATTAAAAATATATGGAGAAAACTAAATACTGTAAGTAAAGATAACAAGACTGCTCGTATCGGGGCGAAGCCCTGAATGTTCCGACTGCCTAATAGGGTTTATGGAGCAGCAGTAATAACATAAAAAGATTAAATGAAATAAAATAAAATGAAATTTTTTTTCTTCTAAAATTTGAAATTTTTAATGAAAATCATCTCCCCACACGCCATATAAAGTACAAAAAGAGAGATTTTGTTCCTTGGACACAAATCAATTATGGCAAATAAGCTTCGTTCAATCAATTTGGAACGATTTATAGGACGGATTAAATCTCCGCTTACGCGTTAATAGCGCGAATTATATCGCTCGTTAATTGTCCCAAATTGGTTAAAATGGCAATCTTTAAACCCTCATAACTTTACGAAAAATGATCACAGGTGAAATATCTTTTCAAATTTAAGCTCAGGACAACAATACCTTTTGAATGATTAAAAAAAATTCCGTCAAAAATGGCTAGTTAAAAAGTCGAAATTTGTCTGAAGAAAAAAAAACGCACCCCGAGCACAAATATTCCGTTACTTTCGTATCGAAAGTCGGAACAATAATAATTCGCTTGGCTCATGATTTCCTATTAATTTAGTCTCTTTGATTTTTTGCAGCAAGTTTTTTAATTTCACTATGTTTCATATTGCAAATCATTTCGAAGTGATTGAAAAAACTTTTCTGATGCAATTTTTGAGTTTTTGTGTTCTTAGAAGGATTGAAAACTCGATGTTTTTTGAAGAATTGATCAATAATCTCTCTTAGATTTTTCTAAAATAAACTGTTCGGAAAACTTATCGGATGAGGTTATTTTGTTTCCTAAAACTCACAGATTTGCAAATCTCTGAATTAACCGTACCCTCAGCTTCAAACCCCCCCCCCATCTCAATCCTCAATTCCTCTCCCCTTCAGCTACAACACAATTGTGACAATCCTTCTTATCGTTTTTTTTTATATGCAAGTCTTATCGTTTTTTAACGGTTTACGCTCCCTTCGAAACCTCAAAAAATTTGACATGCGGTAATTACCCAATTCAATCTCAAGTACTTTTTCCTGAAAAATCACCAGAAATCGAAAAAGAGCTTCAATTAAGTAGAGCAACAAAGAAAACGGTAAGAAAATTTAAAGCAGATCAACTAAAAATAAAAATTGATACATATAAGCTATAGAAACTCTGTGCTTCGTTTTCGTTTTTAAAAATGTGCTTAAGATGAAATTAGATTAAATTATAAGTAATTAATTAAGCCGTTGAATGTCATTCATTTAACACGAGAACATTTTGCCTCACGATTTTTGACTCTTTACATCTCGACTTCAAATTTTTTAACCCACTTACTTCCTTATCCCTTGAGATCAATTACCCTACTTTGATCCGGTAGTTAATAAAAAGCTTGTCTGCTTCTTATTAAATTAGCACTTGAGGGGAATTTAAGGAAAAGGAGTTTCCGGGCTATCGATAAAGCATTCATCTTGATTGATTCTTAGGCAACGAGTCAAGTTTAAGACTCGAAATCACGCTGGTAAATGCATTCATGGTCAAATACCTGCCGATTTTGATCGAAAGTCAGTTATTTTGTGGTGCTTAGGGTAGTTACTTTTTGTTTTTTGAAATTATAGAGCGACGAGCTAAAGAAAATAAGATTTAAAAAGCTGACCCAAAATGCAAGAACCAAGAAAAAATCATTAACCCAACCAAATAAAAGATGATCACACATCGGTATTCGGAAGCATTGTTAAAATGATAACAGATGGCAAAATCATAGATAGAAATTGTTTTCAGCTGGCTCTATTCTGATATGCCTTTTTGAATTCTAAATCAGCTGATTTCTTGTCGACTGACGGAAAATTCAACCTTATGATAAATATAACTCACCAAATTGACACTATTGGAGTGAGTTAGTTTAATGTTTAATTTAATAATTCAACGAACTTTCTTTTTTGCGAAAACAACCCAAAACTTCCTAGCGCACCTTTGCCCCAAAGAAAAAAAATTGCTCAAACAATTTTCGATCTATCAATCAAAAAGTAAACGAAGTCTATTTTTCTACAAAAATAGCATGCTTGGCATTAACACTCTAGACAGGGTCTTTCTGTGTTTTCCCTGCAAAGATGAAACTTGAATTATCACCTCGCTTCAAAACTTTTGCGGTCACATTGTCTATTTTGGAGCCGAAATGAAATTTCGCTGAGGTTTTAAACATATGAGTAAAATGATTTCGAAGCTTAACCGGTAATTTTTTGCTGTAGTTCTTAAAATATAAGTAAAATGGTTCGAAACTTAACCGGCCTTGGATTACAGGACTCT